GGAAGGGAAATGTGAGGAGTTACAGGGGGGCATAGAGGGGTGAATGTGATATAAACACAGTACTCACAAAAGACATTCTCACAAAACTGTTAAATAAAATAAAACCAAATCAAAAGGTCCTGGTAATCTCAGTGGATACCCCCCAGACTTTGCCCCATGCCTGTAACAATGGAGGGCTTCAGGCAGAGGAGCAGTCCTTATAGGGAGTAATGATTGAATATAGGGCATGTCCCTTACCTGGACCTAAAAGAAATGCTTGGCAGGCAGTATGGAGGCCAGTGTGAGCAGCGGCCAACAAAGCCATGAAGTTTTGGATAAGGGCTATTCCTCTGAATGCCTTCTATTCAGTCACTGACCAAGGAGGCTACTCTACCTCTGGGAACCTTTGTCCTTAGTCACTGCATTGAATGTTGGGTGTGGGCATCTTATGAGAGTATTTTACATTGGGTTCCAGTTGCTGGACAGGTTCTGTGAGTCTTTCCCTAATTAAAGCTGAATATATTCTTATAATTTCTGTCTGACTTCATTTACACCATTACATTGTGTGTGTGTGTGTGTGTGTGTGTGTGTGTGTGTGTTCTTCTGCACATGCACGTGTGCTTTGTGCTACTATTGGCTCCCCATCTCCTTTAGGAAGACAAGTTTTCATTCATGAACTCCTGCTACCTGCTGCTAGATCCTGTCCACCTAATGGGAGAGGCAAAGGTCTTATTAGGGTCCGCTTCAGAGGAGGCAACAATCAGGTGAACTTCTTTGGAAGGCACTTGCCATGATGGAGAGGGCCCAAGGTTAAGTCACACAGGTGTCTGTCTCTGCTGCATCTGACTAAGCGGGAACTGATTACCCTGGGCAGTCTCTGGCTGTAGATGTTGGTTCTTGATTGGGAGAAGAAAAGGGAGTGGGGGGCTGTATCCCACATTGCTGTAGGCAGCAGGCTTTTTTTTTAAAGGGCTGGCTCTGGGACCCTGGGGATGAAGCTCCTCCTCCAGAGGAAGTGAGGCAGATATCATTCAGGCCTTTCCATTAGTGGCCTGGACCTTTCCTTGTACTGTTGCTGAACTCTTCTGACTCCACGTTTCCAAATGAACAGAGTCGGGTGTGGTGCAAGTTAGACCAAACTAGGGGAAAGGACTTCAGACCTTTGTGCACGCTGCAAGTGTGCACAGCTGCTTAGCCATACTACTGCGCTTTTAAGGCTGTCTATGAAGTACAGGTCTACTTCTTGAGCAGTGGGACCAGGCATGTTGCCATCTTAGGGTCAGCTTGATGGAGGAAGGTCATTGGCTAATAAAGGCACTGCCCTGGCCCATTTTATTGGTTAGAGGATAGGTGGGAGGAGTAAACAGAACAAAATGCTGGGAGGAAGAGGAAGTGAGCGCAGAGACTCCACAGCTCTCTCGGGAGCAGACGCCTCAGAGAGAGACGCCATGCCCCGCTCCCGGGATGAAGCTCCAACCCAGGATGGACTAGGCTGGAATCTCCCCGGTAAGCGCACCTTGGGGTGCTACATACAGATGATTAGAGGTGGGCTAAATTAATATGTGAGAATTAGCCTAGAAGAGAATGGGCCAGGCAGTGTTTGGAGGAATACAGTGTCTGTGTAATTATTTCGGGGCATAAGCTAGCAGAGCGGGCGGCTGGGGTGCTGGGGTGTTGGGGAAGAGGCCCCGCCGCCCCTAATACTACATATGGCGCCCACGTGGACAACTGCTTCCACATAAAGCCTGAGACAGCTTGGGAAGTAATTCTAGAACAAAATGAAAGCATTGTGCCTGGTTTCTTGGTAGCAGCAATTTCTCGGTTCTACTCTGCTTGCTAGAGGCAAGCAAGCACCTCATCTAAGAGAGGCTTCCTGACTCAGCTTTAGCTGCAAAGCCTGCAGCTCATTAAGAGGTCCTGCCACGAAACACTTAAAAGGTGTTGACGAAAAGCTGAACACATGCTTTTCGGTTTTCAGCCATAGCAGGAAAAAAGCTGCGCCGTTTAAAAATGCTGGCTTTCTGGGCTGTCCTGCCAGGACAAACTCTGACTCTTTTACGCAGGCGGTCCCTGCGGTTTGCAAACACAGGCTGCTGAAGCTCGCTTGCTGGCTACAGCCAGTACCTCAGCCATGAGGCTGGAAAGCTAAGGAATGGACTGGATCTAGCTGGCAAAGCCACGCCTTTAATCCTACCCATATTGCTCAGTAATTTAAAGGCTCGTGTGGTCAGAAAAAGAGAGATATATAGTAAAGAGAGATTCAAAGACAAAGAAAATTTCTAAATGGTTTGAAGTGTGTTAAAAATATATGCAGACTAAAATTTAAAGTTCTTAAAGTAACAAAAAAAAAGGAAGAAAGTTGTGTGTGTGGTAGCACACGCCTTTAATCCCAGTGCCTAGAAGGCAGAGACAAACAGATCTCTGTGAGTTCAAGGTGTAGTAGTGTACACCTTTAATCCCGAATGCCTGGGAGGCAGAGACAGGCGGATCTCTGAGAGTTCAAAGACAGCCTGGTTTACAGAGTTACTTCAGGTCAAAGATACAGAGAACCTGTCTCAAAAAGCAAAGAGTTAAAAGTAAAAATAAACAAAATAGAGGTTAAAACAAAGCTGCACAAAGATGGAAAGTACACAGAGAATTTTGATACTGTATGCTATTATGCTCTCTTTAAATTATTTAAATGCTGAGGAAGGAGCAACAGATGCTAAAAGATATTTGTTTATAAATGCTGCTGAACTAATCCAACATAGATACTTTGAAAATGCCTTAACTTTGAAATTTGGATCTAAGGACATGATGCTTTGGAAAGGAGTTTCTTATTTTGTTTTCACAGAGGATGAGACGCTGTTCATTTCTTCTATTACGATTTGGTATGATGGACCACGCCCTCCTGAAGGGTTGGTGTGAACGCCTTCAAAAAATTGCTTCACTCAACTGCCAACTGAGATGAAACTAGCACACAGTTTATACCATAAAAGACCTAATTAACGACGCCCCCATTCAGCAGGAAGCAGTTTGGAGAGAAAAAACTGCGCCCATGTTCCCAAATATGGTTTATAAACGTTCTTTTACATTTTAAGGGGGATATGATATAGGTATGAATAATTTGTATTAGTATAGATTTTGCTTTATTGATAGAGATTTAAGGTCAATTTTGTTATATGTATAAGTGTTTCTGATTTTGATTAAGGTATTGTGATTGTGTAGTTCATTTAAATGTGTACTGTATAATTAAGAAATATAGGTTGTTAATGGATAATCATCGATAATAGTCAAGTTTGTAGTCATGTTAGTTAAGATTTTCTAGATGTACATAGATATATTTTAGATAGACATTCTTCATGTCTTTCAAAGATTACAGAATAGGACATTTAATGTTTTAATAACTGAGGACTTTTCATGACAATGAGACACTCTGCTCCTGGCAGCACCAATCTACTTCAAGAGGAAGATGGGCATCGAAGAGGCACCTTATGGGGTTTGATAGCCATTTGGGCAAGAAACTGCTCTTGCCTGGACTATTGCATAAACTGGAAACAGAGAACCCGCAGAGAGAGGACTACTGAACTTGCCTAAGGTGAGATGATCTTTCGGGGTTCCTGATTCATGAAAGAGTCTGCGAGACATTCTGCAGGACACAACAGATAGTGACTGAACTGACTTTGAATTTTCCTGCTTTATGGAAATGTCTGCTGGATACCATGGGCCTGAAGGCTGAAGATGGATGCCCCAACGGTACAGAGGAACTTTGGGTGACTGTCCAGGCAGCGAGATGTCTCTGTCATTTCTAGAGTTTTAAAAGTTTCTTAGTTCTTGTTTACTTAGGTAATATTATATCTTTCTGGAGTCTTTGATGGAGTTAAGAATAGTTAGTTATAGTTATAGTTTTCCTTAGTTATGATAAAGATTATTGTAACTTTTACTTGATAACTGTTTTGTTATATGTAATTTTGCTATGTTAAATCCTTTTTTTTTTGTTTAAACCGAAAAAGGGGAAATGATGGAGGAAGGTCATTGGCTAATAAAGGCACTGCCCTGGCCCATTTTATTGGTTAGAGGATAGGTGGGAGGAGTAAACAGAACAAAATGCTGGGAGGAAGAGGAAGTGAGCGCAGAGACTCCACAGCTCTCTCGGGAGCAGACGCCTCAGAGAGAGACGCCATGCCCCGCTCCCGGGATGAAGCTCCAACCCAGGATGGACTAGGCTGGAATCTCCCCGGTAAGCGCACCTTGGGGTGCTACATACAGATGATTAGAGGTGGGCTAAATTAATATGTGAGAATTAGCCTAGAAGAGAATGGGCCAGGCAGTGTTTGGAGGAATACAGTGTCTGTGTAATTATTTCGGGGCATAAGCTAGCAGAGCGGGCGGCTGGGGTGCTGGGGTGTTGGGGAAGAGGCCCCGCCGCCCCTAATACTACATCAGCTCTTACTAAACTTAGGTGTATGAGTACCCTCTCTGCAAGAAGAACTGGATCCGGCCCTCTGTGGCTTGTCTGCAGTATCTTCCCCACTTCCTGGGGCCACCTCATCTCACGCGGATGAAGCAGGAGCTCATTCTGTATGGAGCCACACTTAGTCTGTGGGGTAGGGCTGCAGCAGGGCTGGCCAAGGAGAAAAAGTACATGTTCCCACAAGGTAGAAGGACGATGGTTGGGAGTCTCTGGATCTCAGAGTGTGTGCCTCTCCACTCCTGCCCCCAGTCTGGAATTTTCAAAGTGGCTGCTTGGTCCCTGTTTTTGCCTCTGTAAGATGAAGGGTTGAGGTCAAACTGAGTTGCTTCTGGGCCCTAATTATAAAACATTCCACAGCACATGCGTGTACATGTGCACATGTCTACACATGCACACGCACACGCACACACACACACACACACACATACATACATGCACGCTGACTCTGTTGCAACATTTTTGTGATTCATAGGATAGAAGCAGCTTCTGAGGGCACCAAAGTCATAGATGACTAGGGTTTGTGGGGATTAGAGACTCCCTGAAGGAAATGAGAACACAGAGATGCTTTTCTCCTGGCTGTTTATTACAGAACAAAGGGGGAACAACAAAATCACAACAACAACAACAACAACAACAAAAATGCACTGGCCTGAAACAGATGCCAGATTTCAATTGTAGAATCAAAATACAAGGTGGCAATTAAAATGTGATTACACAAGATCTGAACACTGCGAAAAGTTTACAGGACAGTGGCTGTAGAGTTTCTCTAACTGACGCTTAAATATACATGACGAGAATTGCAAATAGAAACCATTAACGACAAACCCCAAATCAACTATTAATGTTTACAGACTTTCCCCCCAAAACTACAGAGGTTTCTATAGAAATGAATGTCAAATGGTTTAAAGCAGATTTTAAAGCATCACTCTGTGATGTCACACTAAAGCTTTCTAAAGCTGGGGCTTTCTCTGCGTCTGAAGGTCACCACAGGTGACAAAGGGAAGGGAACGCTCTAGTTCCTTGAGGTGGCCAGGTCACAAACTCAGCTCAAAGGCTATTTTTGCACCTCTCCCAACCAACCCTAAAGGATGCTCTTGGCCTTCCATGAGTGTCTCTGTGGGCCACTTACTCATACCACGACTTTTGCTGTAAATGCTCATTAGGAAAGAACTAGCTGAGACTTAAAGGCTTGCGAGAGATAGGATAGTCACACGGGGTAGCACAGTTTGTAATGGAGTGGAAATTAATGACCAAGTGGCTTCTATTTGGCATTTGTCAGTTTGCACAACAACACTTCTTGGTCACATCCACATCTCTTGTGGCATGAAAACCTCAGTGACTCAGCCACCTGGTTTAACAAGGTATCACTGGAGCGAACAACACAGTCTGCATGTTTGGAACAATGTATAATAAACACAATTCTATTGCAACCAAAGCCGCCACTTTATTTACAAAGCCACAAAACCAAGTATAAATACTTCTGTCATTTATGATTAGGAAAACCATTTACAAAATTTTCAAATATGTACAAGTAGCTTGAAAAATCACCTGCTTTTTCTTCATCAGGTTGACAGGGGGATGGGCAGGGTTGACAGGATTCAGAGTGGAACTGGGAGCCTACTGTGGGTGTCTAGGGCCAGTTTCACATTGGCTGCAGATTCAGGCAACAACTCTGAGTGAGAGCATGGGGCTTTCTGGGGCACCCTGCTTTGATTTACAGCTCCTCGGCACCCTGGGTGACTTGTTCAGCATTCTGTGCTGTGGCATTTGGGGCAGCAGCACACTGTTGCAGAATGTCATCTATCAGCCTCAAGTTGCACACCCAGTCTTCATCTGGGGCCACACTGGAGCCTTCTAAAAGTTCTTCCACGAAATTCACCTCACTGCCTGCAGATGATGGTGAGATCAGTCCATTGGTTGGGGACTGGGCCTGAGGCAAGACATTGTCCTGTGGCTCAGGGGATGTGCTAGCTCTCATCAAGGTACCTGGGGACTGGCTGGTGGCAGCAATAGCAGCTACATAGCTTGGCGGCTCTAGTCCCTGAACGGGACTCAAGGGAGAGCAGCTGGCCATGCTCTGCTGGAGGGGCGTGGTGCTCAGTACAGGCACTGGCCCCTGTGCTGGGCTCTGCACAAAGCTCTGATTGCCCAATAAGCTGAATCTGGGGCCAACCAGAGCCGCAGGCACCTTCTGGCCAGGCCTGACTCCTGGGGCTATCTGATTGGCCTGGACCACAGCCCGCTGAGATGGAAATGCTAGAGCTGTTGGGGGTACACTTATGGGTGCCTTGGCAAAGAGGATGGTACTACTATCACAACACTGCAGCATGCAAATATCTACTTGGCTCAGGGGTGATTTCTTTGAAACTGGTGTGGCTACAGCTGCAGCTGCCACTGCCCAGACTGCATTACTAAACACTAGAGACATCATTGGCACACTAGGGAAGCTGAGTTGGTGGGAAGTAAAGGATTGGCTACCCAGGTGGTTGACACAGAACTTGGGCAGGGGCACTTCTGGGGGCATGGCCTTGGCTTTGGGACACACAGAGCCAAGACTATTCAGGGGATCCTGACCCAAGCCTGAGGAGATGGGAAATGAGAAGCCGGTGTTGACTTGCTGTTTCTTCAGAGCTGATGAGCAAACACCTATGTGGCTAGAGGGTGGTAATAGTCTTGGAATCAGATTGTCCTGGAGGAGCTCAGTTTTGGGTGGCATCATATGCTGGTTGGATGGGGGTCTCACATGGGTCTGAATACACTTGGAGATGACTTGTTCTTGTACTGCTGCATGGAAAAAGGCATAGGGATTTTAGTTTCAAAGGTGTCCTGAACATGGGCTGTAGTCACTGGGCATGAGCTACAGGCACAATGGAGTCTTTGCCCCCACCCTTGACTCTCTCCTTCTCCCAGTCCCTCCCAACTTCCCTCATTCCCATTCCTTTGCCAGTAGCCTCAAGTTAAGATCTTCTGAGAACAGCCCATTCTCAGAGCACTGTATGTCAGTGCTTCCCAGCCTTCTTAGTGCTGTGACCCTTTAATCCAGTTCCTCATGTGTGCTGACCCCCAACCATGAAATTATTTCCATTTTTACTTCATAACTGTAATGTTGCTACTGTTGTGAATTATAATGTAAATATCTGATATGCAGGATATCTAATATTCAATCTTTTGACCCACAAAGGGGTCATGACACACGGGTTGAGAACCACTGCTCTCCAAGGAATGGAAAACGTGTGTCTTCATGTATATTGGAGGCTCTGTGAAGGCAGGGTATTTACATTTGCTCTAATATCCTGGCACTATCCATCCCTCAACAGATGGTTCCTATTTTGTGGAAGGAAGGGAGAGGTGGGGGAGGGGCCTGAGAAGAAAGCTCAGCCTCTTAGACAACATAAGACAGGACTTTATCCACCTGACAAATGTAACACACAGGGGAGAGAAGTATTCTGTTCCGTCTAAGTTCCATAGCCGAAGCGGCCTCAGCATCTGGACCAGAGGCTCACATGTTTGTCAACTGAAGTGCAGTGAGGTCCTTTCTGAATACTCGAAACTTGGAAGCCTCATGTCATGGAACAGTCGTGGTGGAGAGACTGGCAGTGCTTTGGGATTACTTTCTCTTCATTATCGGGATGGCCCACTGTCATATTTCCTGGGATCTCTGTGAAGTGGAAACTGAGGCCGACGGTGGTTGTCTACTTTGCTCTAGATCAAGTAGGAAGCATCAGTCCTGGCCTGTGTGATCTTCCATATAGTGTATGCTTGATGCTATGAATAGATTTTCCCCTTTACTTGTAACATGCCTAGCCTAGGACCTTTCTGTAGTATGAAGCAAGTGTTTCACCTAGGTTATCGTCCAACCTCCTAAGGCTGACCCCTGAGTCCTGTTTCTGATGACTCAGGCCTGATCGCATTGGCCACTCCAGTCTGGTCAGGGGGACACAACCCTGGCTGCTACCAGGTCACAGGGACCATTGCATTTTGCACAAGTACTAAGGAACAATGATGTTTAGGTAGTATGGGGGCTGAAATAAAGATGCCAGTGCGAGGGCCAGCCAGCGAGTGCTGAGCACTGCTTCCTCAGGACTCATGGATCATTGCACTAGCTTGGAGAGTTGTTTAACTCAGGCTGCCTTGGTGCATCTGTAAGCTCCATGAAATAGAAGCTGGGTTTTGCTGACCACTGCCAATAGTGGATGGCATTGATAGCTGTTATGTAGGGTAGGAACCCTTAGTTATCCGTGGAGACTATGGGAGGTCATCCCCACACATACAACCAATATCTAAGGTAGGGTATCTCCAATTCCCTTTTCATTCCCCATACCTTCCATATAAAGGCCCTGAAACCCATTAGAAATAAATTGGAACATGTGTGTTGGAGGGGAAGGGCAAGGCAGGGTCCCAAGGGGCTTGTTTCTTATCGAAAGTGGGGTAATGGTGATGTACTTTTGTAAGCCCAACACATTGGAGGCTGAGGCACAATGACAGTTGGAGTATAAGAGTAGCCGGGGCTACAGAGAGAGACCCTATCTTCTGATAACAATGAGCAACAACAGAATGGGGGACTTAAGGGATCTGACTCTGTTTAATCACCCTCTTCAATTAAAGCTATACTGAAACCATTACGATCAGACCTCCCATTGGGATGGATAGTGCTTTAGAGGCAGGCGAACTACTCTCAGTGTTAGATTTCTACCCTGGGCACAACTGATGTGACTTTCAGACTTCTCTCTGTCCCTCTAACACCACATGCAAAAAGTGAACAGAAATGAACTGGCACTCCACCTCTCTGGCTCCTTTAGGAACACTGATCTTTTCTGCTTACCTTGAAATTGAGTCATCTGCTGGGCGATATAAATATTCCGCTGTTTAGGGGTCATTGCCATAGGACCTGATCTCTGATTCTCTTGCTAAACAGAAGATGGAAAGGCCAGATTAGATTACAGATACCAAGAAACATCAGCCTTGTATCGCTGTGGAGGGACTTAGGACTCGGCTTTAGCGCAGCAAAAGCATGAGCGGACACATCAACACACACTCGCATGCATGCCCCACCCTCCTGAGCAAGATCACACAAGTAGACATAAAAGAGTCTGCATCTGGGCTAAGGAAACCAAAAAACTGTAAGAGCAACGATTGGGGCAGGAGAGACAGAGTTCAACAGCGAGAGAGCACAGAAAAACAGTTAGGCATTCGGGATGTCTGTCTGCTCAGGATGGGTCAGTAGTGAGATATGGTTGCCAAAAGAGCAAATTTAACATCAGGCTGCATTATTAGAAGCAGAGTATGTAGAGGGATGGAGGTGACAGTCTTATACTACTCTGATTTGGCCAAACCATACCCACAGTACTAATAGGTACTGGGCATGCCACTCTGGGAGCTTGAGATAAAGTAGCTATATCCCAAGGATGGTAAGTGATAGACGGTAGGGACAAATACTTCAAATTCTCCCGTCAAGGGATGGCTAGTGAGCTGGCTGGGTCTGTTAGGGTTAGAAGAGAACACATCGCACCAAATAGTGGTGATGACTGCCCCGCTTCTGCAGGACTATCATGGAGCAGGTACTGAAGCTTGCTCCAAATAGTCCTGGATGGTCACATGGTTCAGTGGACACACTGTTCCACACCAAGGGTAGCCAGATACTCACTGGCCACTTCCCTTCCTCCTGAGCTGATGTAGTGTAGTGAGTGAGAGGAACTTCCTGTCTTCATCTCCAAGTGGGTTGGGGGTTCAGAGGGAAGAGCCCTACTTCAGGACCTCAGGCCCCGCATGGAGTCTGGAATCAGCTCATGGGACCAAGGTCAAAAATACAACCAACCTGAAGGCCAGACATAGTGATGGCAGCTTGCTTTGAGCCCTTCATGCTGGCAGGGCCTGACTGTGACTGGGGTGAAGGTATGGCCTGCCACAGGTCAGGGTTCACCATCTCTTCTCCTCTGCTACCACCTCCACCTCTTTCTCCATCAAAGGCAGCTGCCAGGAAGTATACCCCTTTAGGTCACTAATTGGCCCTGTGACCCCAGATGCCAGAAAATTGGATCCTGGGATATGGGATGCCTGTGTAGGGCCAAGTTTTCCAGAAATTGCACCCAGAAGCCCATGTCTGCTCTGGGCAGGGCTGGCGTGGCAATAGGTGGGGCGGAAGGCCTGGGCTTGGGAGTGTGCCTGGCTTACAAGCCTGGCAGCAGCTTTTGGCCTTAGTTCCTGCCAAGGCACAGAAGACAAACACATGGCACCTGGACGACCACAGCATAAGTGATTTCCCCATACTGAGCTTTGCTTTTCTATCCTGCCCTTAGTCTGCTTCCTGTGGAACTCTTGCCTCCTCCAGCACTGGGCAGTCAGGATGTGCCGGGGGAGGGAGGCTCCTTCTCTGCTGCCCAGCAGAGCTGCCCTCTTCCTACTAAATCACTGGGTCTGGAGTTGGGGTGGGGTGCATCTGTCTTAGTGTCCTGAACACTTCACACCCACTGTTTCCTGTCATCGGGTCATAATCCAGAGGCAGTCAGGGGGTCACATGACCAGCCCAGGCCACTCCATTTGAATCTGGCTGAAGATTCTCTGGGTGGGTGACCATTTTTAAAGATGTCTCTTTCACTTCTGTTTTTCCTAAGGATACCAGGAAAGATCTATAGTCCCCAGATTATTGATGGGGCATGTGAGGCTCAAAAGTGATGAAAAGACTGCCCATAGCAATTTGGCTAGCATGTACTCCATTCACTTCCGCCCGCATGGCGCTGATGTGAATTCAAGCTCACCTGCATTCTCTCTCTAACCATCTGCCTTATTAGTTTTCAAGGGCAGGGGCAGGGGCAGATGGAGTCTAAGAGTATGACCCAACAGAAATCAAGGCAGGGCAGGAAAGGGCAAAGGGGAGGACGGACAGGGTGAGTGTGTTCAGGGACATGGCAGCAGTCAAACCCTAGATTACTTGGCCTACCAGATGAAAGAGAGGACGGCATACCTGGGGTCAGGCTCACAAAAATCACTAGGGTTCTGGGAAGTCTTTGTCCAGGGAAGCACATATTTCAGAGTGTCCAGAGTGGCTGGGGGAAATCTGGCCAGCGTCTAACAGCTCCGTGCTTGTCTGGGTGCTGACTGCCAGCTCCATAGGACCCCCCCCCCCATTCTGAATGTCCTCTGTGGGCAGGCTGGCTCTTTGCCCTGGAGCCCATTGCTCCCACCAAGGTCCTGCTGTCTCTGACAGAGGGCTCCTGGCCTTCTCTCCAGGCCTCCAGAGGAGGCTGCTTCCTTTGTTTTGCAGACGAGGCTCCCATCCTTTGTTCTGAGTCAATGTGCTCCAAAGATAAGCCCCAAGAAAACAGTTGTTGCCTTTTGACACTGACCGTTAGAACCATAGGAAAATGGAGAAAACAGGAAATGACAAACGGTTTCAGTGACCAGGAGGAAATGGTGGCTGAGAATTGCTGCTGGGTGACAGTACACTCTTATAGCCCCTCTTGTGAAGGATAGCCCAGGTCTGGTGGCTTTTTTAAAGCACAGATGGAGGGGTCATTAAATGAGTCAAGTTTCTAGAGCAGCAATTGTCACACAAATCTTGTATGGGACACTGACAGGCAAGCTTTGTGAGAGCCCAAAACAGGCTAAGCTAGGAAGCCTAGGGCTGGGGCCAGCAGAAAGTCTTGGTAACTAAGACCCCAGCTTTTCCTCTGTAAGTCTTTCCCAGCTCCACTTAGCCACATTCACCAACAGGCCCTGCCTTTCTGGAAGCTTCATGTTGATACCCAAGAAACTATAAAGTGCCTCTTGTATCTGGGGGATTCTGGGACACTGGTGTCTTGACTTAGGTGCCAAGCAGTAGAGAGGCAAAAGGCCTGGGCTGCCCAACGCTCTCGCTGCCTATTTACAGCACGGATCTCAGCACAGGCTATGCCAGAAGTAAGCCTGTGCTTTAGCCGCTTGAAACAGCATCTTAATGCCTCCTGTGGCCTCCTGTGCCATAGGCTTGGTCTTCTCTCTGTCCTCGAAGAGGGAAAATCAGGTGTTAGCAGCCCAACAGTTATACAAAGGGACTCTCCAACCTGAGGGGGTATGGTCATAGAAGCCAGCAGAAATTGGACATAAGTCCTCTTACAAACGGTCCCTGGTTTGGGGCCTTATTTGAACAAAAATTACCTACTCTGTGCTCCTCTAGAGAAATAGAGTACCGAGGGAGGGATGAAGAGATAGGGAGGAGACAAAGAGTGGAGGAAGAGGACCGGGAAGATAGGGAGCAGGAGGAGAGGGACGGAGAGAGTGGGAGGAAAGGAAGGAGAATGTAACAAATGAGGGGGGAGGGAAAGAATGAGAAGGGGGAAAGAGATGAGGAAAAGGGAGGAGGAAGGGGAAAGGAAGGGAAAGGAAAAAGAGAAGGGTCCATTTTTTTCTACAAGGCACCTAGAACGTGCTCTTCAGCAGTCCCTGCCCTCTGAGTGTACCCCATGGAAGCCAGCCTACTAGGCGACAGAAAGCATCAACTATTTGTCCCAAAGGTTAATGAGCTCTGGCATGGCTTCTTTATTACCCCACAAGGAAAAGCACTTTTTTCCCCATAGAATTGAAAGTAAGTTCCAGATGCTCAGGACTCTGAGGTCCCTCAATCCTATCTGCCTGAGGACTACGTGGGAAGATAAGGCCAACGGGGTAACTCAAGAAGTTCCTTTAGCAGTCAATTGACAAATATTTATGGCTGCTGTGCTCAGGGCCAAGCTGTTCCTATCATGAGAGCATTACTGAATGTCTCTACCCTTGGGGAACTTACACTAGATAGGGGAATTATCAAAACACAAGTCAATCACTGAAGATAGTTTGTCTTCTAAAGGAATTTTCACAGGTGAACGGACACCCAGTGGACAGGCCTGAGCAGAACCCTCAGGTCATACTATAACCAAATGTGCCATACCATTTCTTTATTAGGCAAGATCCGTGGTGGTGCTGGCCTGCTGAGGTCTTTCCTTGTCCCTGTGCATATGGCTACAAACTTCACTTACAGTATTGGACCTACCCTTAAAGAGTTCCAAAGCCACCACTGGGGACACCACAAAATACATGGCATCAAAAGTGAATGACCAACTTTGAGCTGGTCATTTCTACCTTAGGACTGTCTTTGCCTGTATAAGCACCCCCGACACCTAGTCTTGGTGGCTTCAGGGCTGGCTGATACTGCAGTGTTTGCTTTACATGCTAGGGATGATCCTCAGGCAGAGGAGACCTGTGTGTCTTCTGTCTCTGCAGTCCCCGAAACCTCTGGTTCCCTCTGCCCCACTGGCTGCAGTGACCAGGGACTGAGAGGGAATGCAGAGCTGTCTCTCCAAGTGGAGAGCCCACTGTGCATTCACTCCACAGGCAAGGCACTGGTCTCGGCACAGGATTAGTGACGCCAGGAGTAGGAATTTCAGTCAAGCTAGCAGCAATCTCCTCACAAGGCATCTGGGACCAAGAAAGAGCTGAGCAGGACTGGGTGAAAGCACGATATTCAGAGGAGACGGAGCCTCCTGGGGTTTTGATAATTCGGTTTCCCTGGGAGCTTGGGGTTGGACAGGACTCCTCTGGTTGCAGCCAAAGAGGAGGCAGTTAAGGAGTGCTGCGACTCTGGGGGAGAGAGAAATCAATAGCCCTTGACTGGAAAGCACGGCTTGTTCTTTCAGGCCAGGGCACACAGGATAAAGAGAACAAAGCTGTGTGCGCTAAAGCAGAGTTTCCATTAAAGGCCAGACTCTCGGGAGGTCCTCTCAGCTCAGTGACCATCTTCTGCAGGTTTCTGTACAGATAGGGCAGACATCCTGTGGCCATTGATATTTCGGGTCTCAGAACAATCGCTCTATGGTTCAAATAAAATCTGCCAAGGCTGGTATTCATCACCTTGCTCTTGTGAGCACTAATGGGACTCGGAGGCATGCCGAGTCATTCC